ACACTGGACACTGCATTTCCTAACTTTCCTTCAATAATTACAAGTGCATTTGCCAATTAAAAGCCCTAAAAAGTTATACCATTCAGAAATCTATTTAACTTTGTATTATCTAGATATGTACAGACATATCTTGATTGTGAAACACTTTTCTGGTAAAACAAGGCTTCTTGGAAGGAGTGACAGCTGAGCTGAGTCCTAGAGGTATAGAAGAGGGAAGTAGGTGAAGAGAGGAGAGAAGAAAAGAAGACGGTGAACTTGACTTGGCAGGAAGGCAAATCAGGGAGGGCTGGGTTTAAGCTATGAGGGCCATGGGAAGCTTCTGAGGGCTTCAGGCAAGAGCATATTTGATCAGATTTGCATTGACTCTTACTTTTGACTTTTATTTATTCATTGGAGACCTGCAGTAAACAAAACATGTTGCATTATTACCTGTTATCTATATGCACATTACAGAAGTTTCATAAAATGGATCTAATTCTTGTTACATGTAATGCCCACTAATATTTTCTATTATTTTTTCCTCCTCCTGGAAATCACTTTTAAGAAGCTATTCCAGGGGCGCCTGGGTGGCTCAGTCGTTAAGCATCTGCCTTCAGCTCGGGTCATGATCCCAGAGTCCTGGGATCGAGCCCCGCATCGGGCTCCCTGCTCGGCGGGAAGCCTGCTTCTCCCTCTCCCACTCCCCCTGCTTGTGTTCCCTCTCTCGCTGTCTCTCTCTCTATCAAATAAATAAATAAAATCTTTAAAAAAAAAAAAAAAGGAAGCTATTCCAGTAATCTAAGCAAGCAAAGATAGAAATCAAAATTTTATAACACCTGAATATGAGTGTCAAGGCCCCTCATCTTCTCCCTGATGTTCTAGATGAATAAACGAGAGTGATCCATTTTCAGGAAAAGAGAAAAGCCTATTCTAGTTCTTCTGCTAAGAAGCAGTTAATTCTTATATCCTCTATGCACAATTTCCATTGTCTCTTGTTGCAAGTAAGAGGTTGTAATACCAGTGAGGGCAGAAAGTAAGTCAGATTTTTGTTTGTTTGTTTTTGGTTCATTAGAAGAGCTTGGTACATTGGTGGACACATTGTGGGTGCTTCAAACTCACTTATTGTTGGCATTGCATTGCACTGAATTGATGATTCTTCATCCTTTGGAGGCAAAGAAGTTTAGCAGGCTGAGAAACAGTAGCAAGCTTCACCTAAGTAGTGTGCATACCCCCCCAGGTGGTCAGAGCACCCTGGAAAATATCTCTTACTCCTGTGCTCATTGTCTCAGGAACAGAGTGCCTGCATCACAGAGAGGAACCCCTGAATCTCCTGCAGTCAAACCTCCCAGAAGGTGAAGTCCAGAATGGCCACCATGTTTGCATTCTTCTTTTCTTTCTGCAAGGATCATTACTGTCTTTTCTGTCCCTTCCAGAGCTGCCATCTGCTCTCATTGCTGAGGTCTTCTTATAAGACTGGATCCAAAATGGGGCTCAGTCTCAGCTTCCTCCTCCTTGCTTCTCTGAAAAAGAGGGCTCTAGCCTTTTCGGTTTAAAGGCTTCACTGCTAAACAGAGAGCAAGCAACAAACCATCAAGCATGGGTATCACAAGAACAATTGCCAGAATCTCAACAACATTTTTTTCCTAGTGCTTAGAGCAGTCTGTTGGTGACCCTTATCCCTTCCTGCCTCCCTCCCCTACTTTCCCCTTTCTCCAGATTAGGTGCTCCACTTCCTGCTTGCAGGTCTGAAGGCACGATTCATAGTTGAACAATAAATGAGTCAGTCACCCTCCAAGTTTTGGATGGCCAGAGCATTCCAGAAGAGTGACTCTCAGTGTTTCACCTTCTCCACACAGGAAATAAATTACCTCAGGCCTCTCCCTCACAGTTACTCATGTACCAAAACTTCTTAAAAATTGTGGAAGGACTCTCTGGGCTGAGACCTAGTTTGCGGTGACATGGCTAAACCCAGCAAGTAGGTCAGAATCACTGGGAAATACGGGACCCATTATGGGGCCACCCTCAGGAAAATGGGAAAGAAAGTTGAAGTAAACCAGCACGCCAAGTACACTTGCTCCTTCTGTGGCAAAACCAAGAGGAAAAGACGAGCTGTGGGGATCTGACATGGTGGTTCCTGCAATGAAAATGGTAGCCCGTGGTGCCTGGACCTACAACATCACTTCTGCCATAGAGTCGGCCATCAGAGGACCAGAGGAGTTGAAAGACCAGTAGAGGGGCGCCTGGGTGGCTCAGTCGTTAAGCGTCTGCCTTCGGCTCAGGTCATGATCCCAGGGTCCTGGAATCGAGCCCCGCATCGGGCTTCCTGCTCTGCGGGAAGCCTGCTTCTTCCTCTCCTATTCCCCCTGCTTGTATTCCCTCTCTCGCTGTGTCTCTCTCTGTCAAATAAACAAATAAAATCTTTAAAAAAAAAAAAAAAGAAAGACCAGTAGAAGCTCCACCATTTGAAACAATAGTAGCCTATAATAAATGGGTTAATTTATGTAACAAAATCACTTTGGCTTGTTAAATTTATTAGATGTTCCAACTTGCGTTGCATTAGTGGCCTTCTCAAAACTCTTGGAAATTAAAAATCCTTCTAATTTTGGGGTGCCTGGGTGGCTCAGTCAGTTAAAGGTCTGACTCTTGATTTTGCTCAGGTCATGATCTCAGGGTCGTGGGATGGAGCACCGCTGGGTGTGGAGTCTGCTTAAGATTCTGTCTCCCTGGGGCGCCTGGGTGGCTCAGTTGGTTAAGTGACTGCCTTCGGCTCAGGTCATGATCCTGGAGTCCCAGGATCGAGTCCCGCATCGGGCTCTCTGCTTAGCGGGGAGTCTGCTTCTCCCTCTGACCCTCCCCCCTCTCATGTGCTCTCTCTCTCTCATTCTCTCTCTCAAATAAATAAATAAAATCTTTAAAAAAAAAAAGATTCTGTCTCCCCTCTCTCTCCCTGCCCCTCCCCCCCTTAAAAAAATCCTTCTAATTTTTATTGGAAAAAAAATTGTGGAAGGAAACTGAAGTGTGGTGCACAGTACCCTTTACTTTCATCTCTTCTCTCAGATAGGGTAGGCTGGCAAATCCAGTTGCTATTCTGTAAAGTCTAAGACATCAGGGCTCTGTTGAACAGTGTTATTGAAATGCCGTGATGGGAAATTCTAGGGGTCCAAGGCCCTGACAAAAGAAAGAAGCTGTCCAGGTCCCAGTGGGGGAGCATCTTCAAGGTGGCATCTATGATGATTAATTCAAGCCTTACATTTCTGGAACCTTATCTTCCTCTATGGGAATATTCTCAAGACTCCCTATCAAAACTGGTGGTTTATAAACAAAGCTCATTTGCACCTGCTTGGAGTGTTGGAAAGCACCCGCCAGCAAAGTGGTGACAGTCCTCATCTGCTGGTGGTGGGAACACAGCTGGTTTTCCTTTTCTTCCTTCCATTTCTCTGTATATCTGACTTTTTTACCTAAATAAATACCTATTCGTAATAAAGAGAAAAAATCAAAATTGTTGTTCAGAAGGAAGTATGTCCCACTGTTTCCATATACTTGCACATAGTGACATTCTGTTGTTTATATTGAAAAGATCATCTTTTTTTAATTTCTAAACCTATTTGGGAGACCACAGCCCCGGTTTTGACAACATAGCATCGTGATTGACAATCTTAGCTCCTTGCCTTATTATTCAGGGATGACCTAGCAAAATGTACTTCATCTGTCTCAGCCCGAGTGTCTTTGCCCGTAGAGGGGCCTGATATCTTCTTCACAGGAGGATGAGAAGCATTTAAAGCGCTCCTGTGTGCTTAGTATATTATGCCTGCTCAAGAAACATTTGCTGTTTTTCTTCTCACCCCAACCCTGAGATCTCAGAAAGTCTCTCTATAGAGCAACCAATACACAGTTCAAAGAATCTTCAGAAGGAAACTCATCATCCATCCAGCCCGACTTCTCCAGAGTCCTGTCCACAGCCTCCCTGGCCGGCCATCCCTGAGCCTCGGGGGAAGGCAGCCCCCTGCCCCCCTGGGAGTGGGTGGACAGCTCCACTGCAGGGTAGCCGCTCTCACCATGATCATGATGCTACTTGCTTTTTATTTAGCTAAAATTTGACCCTCTATAAAATGCTCCCTATTGTTCTTAAATCTCACCTCTAGACTCTCCACGAAGAGCTAGCAGGCTCCCTCTTCTGCCCCACAGTCCATTGACTACCAGCACCAAACTAGGTCCTTGAGTACCATAGAGCTGGGTCTAGGCATGGCAGAGGCCTTCCTAAGTGACACAAAGCAAATGAGTAACCGAATCATGCCTCTGGCAACTGGCAAAATTTCCAATAGAGATCTACCTTACGGCCCCCGGTACTTTCTAATGGTTCTTCCAACTTCATCCACTCAGCCTCCCCTTGATTGATTTATCGGTACCTTTCCTCTCCTCTCCCCAACACCAACTTTCCCTGTCCCTCACCATTTGTGAAGAAGAGGTTTCTGTTCCTACGTGGAGGATGTGACTTAACAAGCTGATTGGTAAAACTTTTTTGCTATTTCCATCATACCAGGTAAGGGAGAAGATAGAACTTAATGAAGTGACAAGTACAGAAATACAGCAGTCAGGCAATAAAATTAATAATCATTAATTAATAACCATTAATAATGGTTTTATCCTTTCAAAAGTTCCTATAGGGCTGAACTCCGTGATACCCAACTAGACCATCAAATTGCTATTTTTGTATCGAGGGAAACAGAAGCTCTTTGGGATAATTCTTTTACATTCCTGGCTTTCGGTGGAAGAGAAAAGGACACACACTGTAGACCATTAAGTACTGGAGAGACATGATTTTAGGATGTAACTCAATTACCCAGTGATTATAAAGAGCCTGGGAGAAATATTTCTATATCTGGGCAGGACCACTGTCAGATTAAAGGTGCAGTAGTTCTAAGTGCTGTTTGTTCCAGCCCTACATTCGATTGCAACAATGTGAGTGTCTTGCCTGTGCTGGTGGATCATTAACAGAGGTTATTGGTCTCCATGGCAAAATCATTGCTCTGAACGTAATCTCATTTATGGAGTGCAAAAAAAAAAGGACTTCAGGTCAGGGAGAATGTATAAATGTCCATCGCCATCAAGGTTCTGCCACATTTGAGAAGCAGAAGCAACTCCAAGGACACAGCTCACAGGCTGATTTGGTTCTCGGCTCCAAAACACGGACTGACTTGGGGATACTTTCTAGGACACTCTGGCCGATAACTTTGAAGAGACCCTGTGAAGGTGACAGTGAGGGGCCTCTGATCGCAGACCTATATTATACTTCCCCAACATGTGCAGTGGGGGCTGTGCCAGGTGCCTGGGGGGCACCCTCATCCCCCTCGCCTTGTTTGGCTTTTTGGCTAACGTCCTGTTATTTTTTCCTGGAGGAAAAGTGATAGACGACAACGACCACCTTTCTGACGAGGTCTGGTTTTTCGGAGGAATATTAGGAAGCGGGGTGTTGGTGAGTAGGGAAGCCTTAAAACCCTCCCATTGATCTTTGCCGAATCCTTTTAAAATTGGGTACTTTTTGAACAAGATAATTTAGTTGCTAACAAGAGCCCAAGCTTTGCATGATGAAAAGTCAGTGCTTTAGTTCTTTTCCTTCTCCCTTAGGTCCTGACACGGACACGTCCACTAAATTTACGAAGTAATGAATTCCCAAGATTGGGCTGGCAGTTCTCATGGGTCGATTGAATTCCACCAACCAAGCTGAGGGCTACCTGGATTCTCTATTCTAACAAGATAGTGCTGGGGACCGTAGATACACACTTTCTGGCAAACTGACTGAAAACCACCAAGAGAAGCAGGTGTCGGTGGATTCTTCTTCCACTCATTCATTAATGGTCTATTTACCCCTCGTTTCCAGGAGAGTTTAGAGAGAGACTCACCTTTCCTAACTGAGGACAAGTTTCTTATTGCTGTCCTAACCCACCAGGTAAATGGAAACTCAGGGTGTCAGATCTTGAAATCTGGCCTCGCTGAACTGCAGTTAGGCCTTACGGACCCCACAGAGTCAGTGGTGCTTGGCTACGCGGTGGAGCTCTGGCAGTTCTCGCCATAGCCTTCAGCCCCCGAGTCCCACAGCGTGGACGTGGCTCCGCGCGCAGCCAGGCAGGCGCAGGCCCTCCCTCCCCGCGTCAGCCCCGGTCTGAGGTGCTTCTCTCGCTGGCAGATGATCTTCCCCGCGCTGGTGTTCTTGGGCATGAGGAACAATGACTGCTGTGGGTGCTGTGGCAACGAGAGCTGTGGGAAGCGCTTCGCGGTAAGTACCCGGCGGCGCCGCCGCAGGGACTTCGGGTGCCCTGGGCCCTTGTGTGGGGCACCGTGGGAATGGGGCCGAGTCACCAGCCCCAGGCAGTCCCCAGCTCTGGAGGCAGCTGGGGCATGGATAAATAGGGACGTCTTGCTGGTGCAAAGTAACAATAATAATAAAATTTAAACTCCCATAGCCCTGATACCTACAGGGTGTGAGTATCATTATAGCTTTTGCAAACGCGCAGGGACGTCAGCGCTGGAAAACTGGAGCGGTGCCATGTAAAGGAGGCAGGCATGGAAGGCAGGGATGGGGGCTGCAGCTCTCCCTCTGTCACCGAGAGGCCTTGAGACCCTGGGCAAGTCATTTCCCTTCTCTGGCCCCGCGTTGTCTCATCTGTAAAGGGAGTGGGGTGGGGCTGGGGGGCAGCATGACAGATGATACCAGCCCCTCCCCAAGAGTCCCCTAAATTCCCCATTCACCCCACTGCCGGCTGCACTGTCAAGGTGCCCAGATTTTGCCTCAGGACTTCCGTTTCTTGTTTCAAGCATCTTTTAGTAGGTGAGCTAGAGAGATTTGGCATCACCGCGCCAGCCTGGGAAGTGGGGTCGGGTCGCATTTCTGCACCTGGGCAAGTCACTGTACTGCCCTTGGCCTCCCTTTTACTCATCTGTAAAATGAGGAAGTTGAATTAGATCAGAATTTCCCAAGTATGGGACAAGCTCTGCTGGCCCACAGGTGTGCTGTATCTGTGAATAACATAGAAAGTCATTCCCTTGTCAATTCTCCTTCAATCCTTTTGATTTTATCAAAAGAAACTCAAATTTTGATGGAAATAAGTCTTTACCATCCCAAATCCCTCAAAATCTCCCTTTCTGACAAAGGGAGAACACGTTTCAGGCTCCAGGAATGCAAGCAACATTAACTAAAAATTCAATAGTACTGTATTATCTTTGTTAATGATTCTAGCTCTCCACTCATAGTGGTGATATAAATGAATAAAATAGAGAGTTGACTTAAAGAAAAATATTAAGAGTTTGGGTACACTGATAGGGCAAAAATGAAGAAGGCTGAACTGGAATTCCTGGCTGGCTGATAAATAAGGCTGGTTCTTGCTCTAAATTCCCCAAGGCTCAACTGTCCATCTAGGAGATTTGTGAAACTCAATGATGAATTATACAAGCTTACCTTAACTTCTAAAGGAAAAGGTGTAGCCATATGTTTCGAAATAGAATCATTTCTAACATTTCTTTCCCATTATTATTTGCTTATTTGTTCAATCAAAAAATATTTGTTCAATCAAAAAATATTTATTGAGCACCTATGAAGGGTTGAAGCTAGGGCACTGGGCATACAATTATAGTTTTTTATGTCCAAAGATCATTCAAAGAGAATGTTCTTACCTTCTTAACACCAGCATGAGTCCCAAGTAAGCACTGATCATTTTTTTTAGCATTGATTATTATAACATTTAAAAGCAAAGAGATGTAAAAATTAGCCACAATTTATTTGATATAGTTATGTAACATGTGTTTTATATATGGTATTTTTATATAATTAATTATAAAGGAAAGAAAGACATCTATAACTCATTTGCCCTTTGAAATATAATCCTGTTTTCTCCTTTTGGAGAATACGTTGAAGATGAGAATTTGAAAAAAAATTGGCAGTCAAGGAATTGGATGAAAAGGAAAATAAGTCATTGCCTAGAAATCTAACAGCTCGGGGGCGCTTGGGTGGCTCAGTTGGTTAAGCGTCTGCCTTCGCCTCAGGTCATGATCCCAGGGTCCTGGGATGGAGCCCCATGTCGGGCTCCCTACTCCGTGGGGAGCCTGTTTCTCCCTCTCCCTCTGCCTGCTACCTCCCCCGCTTGTGCTTTCTCTCTCTCTGGTGCTGAATAGAAGGCTCAGAATTAAAACAAGGCGTTTTGTTTATTTTTTTTGTTTTTAGGTTTATACATAACCACAAGGAAAAGTGAAATCATATTCAAAGTATTGTACCTAATTTGTTTTTTAATTAGATCTAAGTGAGGTTCCAAGGAAAGGCAGAAAAGTCATGTTTTTTCTTTTTTTCTTTTTTTAAAGATTTTATTTATTTATTTGACAGAGAGAGACACAGCGAGAGAGGGAACACAAGCAGGGGGAGTGCGAGAGGGAGAAGCAGGCTTCCCACGGAGCAGGGAGCCTGATGCGGGGCTCAGTCCCAGGACCCTGGGATCATGACCTAAGCCGAAGGCAGATGCTTAACGACTGAGCCACCCAGGCGCCCCAAGTCATGTTTTTTCAATCACAGTTGAATTCATAAAATCTGAAACATTTGGTCTGCCCAATTCGAGTTGTCTGTCTGGGCTCCCTAACCCCCCACGTAGGATGTGCCCTTGGCTTGGGTTGAGGATGACTCCTCCAAACGACTGGCTTTTGGGCACAGGGCTGGTACCCATCAAAGGACCAGCTCTGCCCGATGTAAGACAAGGCAAACAGCCATAGCCCCCCTGGACCAGGGACAGCCACCCTCTAGGAGGCCAGTGGAATTTCTTGGTTTGGGTTTGGTTCTTAATCAGCTGTCAACTTTTAAAAACAGAGAGATTTTACAGAAGTATTTAGATATCCTACTTCTTTTCCAAAAAATTAAAAATTGACCTGGGCCTGCATTTTGACACAACGATGGCCTGCAGTGGACACGGCTGAGCGCTTCATTTTGGGTCCCTGCCCTGTCCCTAAGGGCCGCTGAGCTCATGTTCCTGCTGCAGGGCTCTGTTTCCTTAACGGTCTGAGGCTCTGGAGCACTAAGGAATCATCATTTTTAAAGAAAGGAATCCACAAACATTTTGTCAGACAAAAAGGAAGAAGCTGCAGCATATTTTGATCAGTACTCTAATGCTGAAGATTCAGATTATTTTTCCAAAGGCTTGTGGCTTTCCCATCCAGGTGTTTAAAGAATACTGGGCTTCTGTGGAACACTGTTTAGAAAATGCAGCTGGGTACAAATTCCTATGAGGCAGACACACACTAGGCCAAGGGCTGTGGGGCTATCTACATCCTGTCCCCGTCTCCACAACCTTGCTCTCATTTGTTTCCTGGCACCCCCCACCCTTCTTTGCTACACGTCTTTTGGGAATACTTTTCAGAAGTCAGCTGCATCATTCTCTTCCCTTTCCCTGGGTGTAAAACCAGGGCATAATGATCTATAGTAGAAGCAGGATATGGTGGTTGTAGAGATAAAGCAAGACAATGAGCTGGAAAAAATCTTGAGCTGAAACCAGTAGTTTCATGGTCAAACTAGAAGATGGAGGCCAGCTCTCCTCTGAGGTAGAGCAAGCCAGAAGCCTGCACTCTTTTAAATAAATTAAGCTACATAAGGGGCGCCTGGGTGGTTCAGTCAGTTAAACGTCTGCCTTCAGCTCAGGTCGTGATCCCGGAGTCTGGGAATCGAGTCCCGCATCAGAGGGGAGCCTGCTTCTCTCTCCCCCCACCACTCATGCTTTCTCTCTCTCAAATAAATAAAATCTTAAAAAAAAAAAAATTAAGCTACATGAGAACTGAGAAAGGGGGCAAAAACTGTGAGATGAGAGAGACTTCCGAAATGGGCTTTGAAAACCCAAACCTGGGTTTGTTTTGGGGTCTCAACCTCTTCCTCCCCTATAAGAGGTTCTCAGTGGCCTCCTGGCAGTTTATCTGTGGCTGGTCAGGGTCTCAGGGCCCCTAATCCTTAAAAAAACAACAACAACAAACTCTCGGAGTCCATAGAATAGCTTAATTAATTTTATCCACTCATTCATGTTAAGTCTGTGCTTTAATAAGAGCCTTTTGAAGACCTTGGCCTTGACTCAAAGAAATATCTAATAATAGAACTGAAGGTACCTTGATAAAGGAGTTATTAGGGACAGGCAGGCATTTCTGTCCAGAAAGCATATCCTTAAAGCATCCTTAAAGCATATCAGGTAGATAAAGGGGCACCCCACCCACAGGCAGGGCCAGATGGTTGACTGACCTGTTGCCAAGGAGGATCTTGTCACTTAGTCTATTCAATGGAGAGTCAGCACTTCTTCCGTGCCCGGCTCACCAGTGCCCCCTAGGGACACTTCTGCAGTGAATACTTCCTGAGTGGCATTACCTCCGCATTCTTTGGAATGACAGCCAGTTTGAGGAGGATTCAAGATAGTTCTTTTGAAATAATAGATTATCTTGAGAGAAGAAATAAAATATGGAATCCTATTTCTTCACTAAATGTTTTTTATGTTTCAAAATCCTCTGCTATGAAATGGATAATGCACGCATGTCCCTTCATGAAGACAGTCCAAGGGTGGGGGAAGATGATGCAAGCATTAGTGTACCCAGAAGGGGGGAGGAGCACTAAGTGGCTGGGTAGTGAGGACCTCCGTGAATGCTTGTTGAATGAGTGAAGCAAATGAATGCTCACGAGGGATTTCAGGTGATTTCCAAACTTTATCAGGCCCAACTCTCTAACACTAACCCTTTGAGTTAGGCATTAAACTCCCTGTTTTGTAAATAAGGAAACTGAGGTTCATACAAGTTAAGTTTCTGATGGCCACAACCCCCCACCCCCACCCAGTCCTCTCCCCTTCGCAAGCCTGGCCAAGGCAGAAAATACAGAACATTAACATCCTGAGAGAAAAAGTGCTTCAGGTCATCTCTGTATATCTCAGAATAATTGTTAAGGAGGAACCTTCACGCCCATCAGAAATGTTTCCCCAACATGTTGCTCCTACCCAAGTCTCTAAAAGCTATGTCCCCAAGCCTCCCAGGTGTCTTCCCTTCCCAGGCCCCAGTGTCTCTGCCATCTGGTTCAGCCAACCTAGGCACACAGCTGACCAAGAACACACCGTGGCCAGTGGCAGAGCTGGGGTCCGATCCCACGTCCTCTGCCTCTAGAACCTGACAGAGAGGATGGTTTTAAAGCTGACACATGGTGAATTCGAGGGCATTTTTATCTTCCTTTTCCAGGGAAGTATTTCCAGCATATACATAAACACATTTCTTTAGCAGTGT